GGACTATGTTTCAGTGTTTCTCAAGTTGAGCTTTATTTCAAAACAGTTTGGAGAGCCTTAAGCGTTCTAGTTCCAAGACATAAATCATGGTCTGTGCAAGAATTGCTGCAAGAACTTTTAACATGTTTTGCAAAATATCCATGATTGCAACTCCAGCTAATGAAAGAAAATACATTTTGCATTTATGTGGCTGAAAGGGATTTCAAAATTGTGGGAATTTGTTGAACACTACTGTTACAGAGCATTTGGAATCTTTTTAAAAACCCAACACACTGTAGCAAACACAATGTAAACTAAAGGCAAATAGATAGAGTATGTCACTACAAACAAAAAATTTTTTCGAGGTGGCTTTTCCGATTAAGACTTAGGAGAGAAAGAGGAATGCGTTACGCTAACACACTCTGTCAGGAGGCTGTAAGGTATTGATCGCAGGAGTGTATGACGATGATGGGCTTTGACAGCCCGCTGCGTGGACCTGAGCTGAGTCAGACGGGAGCTCTGTCTTACATCTGGAAGGGCTCTGGGTCACGCTGGCGAAATACTGCATCCCTCCATGCACATGAATACCCTTAGACACGAGCCGAAAGGCTGCACGGAGAAATATGGCTCCAATCTTTAACATTTAGATAAGAGCATCGGCTGAATGTCGACCTCACAGAGCACATTTCAAAGAAGATAATTTACCCTCAGACAGTCTCATATTTCACTTTTGGATGTATATATACTCAGATGAACACATTTGTACACATTAGGTGTTTTTATTTTGTAAACTTTATAGATTTTCCTTATTTTTCCAGTCTGCTTATCAACAGTCCTTGAAATAAACTGGATGTTTCAATATGAGGCATGTCGTACAATACAATTTCCCAGAATTCACATTGACGTCCTTCTATGCTATCTTGTGTCCAAACAACAGCCCAAACCCTTTTACCAATTTATATAAAAGAAAAACATCTGAAAAGATGAACAATTTTCTGCTTTGGGAGTTCATTTTAGCAGAAATATGTTAACTTGATGATTTACTGATATCTGTTTGCTCAGTTATCTGTGGAAATAAAGGGAGAGCAAATCACAACATAACTCTGTGCACCCAGACTTTACCTCTGTAAACAGTTTTAATGGATTTTCAGAAATATTGAGAGACCTTGATTCTGGGAAAAACTAAAATGAAACCTGCTCTTGAGCGGATGCTAATTGCTGCTGACTGTAGCAAATGCATTTGGGTTAAGGCTCTTTGTGGACCTAATGGAAACAGGATAAAAACACAGCCGTTATTAATTTGGGTACAGTGACCCTACACTGACCATAATAGGCAGAAGCGGACCAATGTCAGCCCATGGACTTCTTCAAACTTAGTAAACGTATTTCCTTTTTTTTCTTCTTATAAAGTATACTACTTCCGCATATAGGGAAACCATAATGGGTTTAAAATGGATTGCAGTGCTTGATCAAAAAAGTAGAATTGTCACAAACAAAAGCTTGTTAAAGATTGCAAGGGTATACCATGGACTGGACGTTAATTTACTAACATGTATTTTGCTTTGGTTTATATTTTCAAATCATGCCTAGATATTATTTCTTGAACAGAAGGCTGATATTATGGACATGTGCCCTCCTTTCTGTACATATTAGGTGTTCTGCATCTTTCTACTGAGTGATTTAGAGAAATAAATGAAATGCAAACCTCCTTACATTGGCAGCGCAGCGCAGGCCCGCAGTGAGTAATCTCAGAATGTGTACTATCCAATGCTCAAACTAATGAGCTGCTCTGAATGAAAGCTTTCATCAAACCCACTTTAAACACTGTAAAAAGTGTTTCAGCCTCTAGGAGTCACTCAGCATGACTGGCTCTGTAATGACCTCCAAATGTGTTTTGTGTGATTGCTGCCTTGCAGCCTCAGTCCCTCCCTCCTTCCCTCCTTTCTCTCAAACCAACCTGATCTCAAAGGAAGTGTGCACACGTATATTTATAAGCTCAAGATAAATATTACTGGGTTTTGTTGTACTGAAGGGTACATCATCTTGTAACCATTGATGTCTGAACAAACTTGTGTGGGATCAGTACATATAGGGCGCAAATGAAAGGACATGGGATGCTAAAGTCAGTACCATTCATCCATTGGGGACCATGAATGTAGTGACCAAACTTCCACAATTGATGTCGCTAAGAGGCTAAACTTGGCTCTTCACTGTGGGACGTTCCAAAATAAAAGTCCATGCATAAGATTTTTTTTCATTATGTTTATTAAAGAAATAAAACAAACAAATGTTAAAGCACGACCATGGAGAAAACAAAAGGTTTAGGAAAATTCATTGAATATGTGTTGAGAAATTTCAACGGATACGAATTTTGATTTTGTCTAGAGAGGGCGTTTCATAGTGGTGAGATTCACTTCCTCTCAGTATATGCAACAAGGACTACACATCCCATAGTCAGCAGGATTATGGCTGACACCCAGCTGCACCTGATCAGCTGATTTCCCTAGTTAGAGGGTTCAAAGGGGGGAGGAAGACGGAGGCCGTTTCTCAATCGCGAGGATGCTTGCTTGGTAGCACATGTCTTCCGAGTCACTTGCTTCAGAAGCTAGGCAAGAATCCTTCCTGGCATTCGGAAAACGAAGAGTGGAACAGGCTAGCAAGTGTGCAGGTGTGCGTCAAATGAGAGGCCCCGCCTTACATTTTCCGCCACAGATTAGGGGAAATTGGTCCGTGCGCAAAGCATTGTGGGGATTTTAAGGACGCGAAGTCGACCCCCAAAACCAAGGACGCGGCCTCGGTGGAATTCCAAGTATACTGGATATTGGAACAGTCCTTCGGCGGCACTCGATGACGTAGCATCCTTGAAATATTGGCTTGGAAGCCAGTTTCCTCGAGATTGAGAAACGACCACTTTTTTGTGCTCCTAATGAAAAGATCCTGACCTTTCAAGACATGACATAATATTCCCCCAACTCTCTTTTAGTCCTGTTGCAGCCACAATTATCTATTTATTAAAAATAAAATGACATTATAACCTCCCTGGATTATGGTTGTGCGTTTGTCTATTCATGTCAGAAAATAAATGTACCTAGTATTTTCACAGCTGTGGACAAACTGGATCAGCAGTGTTAACTTCTCAACAAAATGGATTGGTTCAAAGAACAGGCAACTTGGACAGCATGTTCTCTCACATACCAACGCAAGCTTATTCTCAGAATAAACAAAATGCCACTTTCAATAAAGATGCTCACTCAAGTAGGGTGCTAGTCTTTGACAAGGTGTTATTGATCCGCGAGAAGCCATCACGGCTGAGACAAAACATACTGAAACTACCACCTCAAGGCTAGAACACGCCTGCTCATGCTGTAAGTGATTATCGCAGCAAGTCAAGCGTAGAAAGTAAAAGAATATCATTTCCAACTGAAAGCAATCAATAGCAATAATGGGCGTGAAGAGAAGTGAAGGACAGGCGGTAAATCCTGTCGAATCAGCTTGATGAGGGGGACGTTTATTACCAGATTTATGGCGTTTTGTCTTTTTTTCATTTTTATTGGAATTGTGATAAACAATGCATTTTACAAATTACACCGTGTCCTTGGTTTCTTGAATGTCATTTTTTTTGTGAGCAGGCAACCATTAACACTGCTTACCAAAATGATTAAATATATATTTAACCCTGTGCAACGTCAGACAGAGATAAGGACATTAACATAGACTTTGTACTGGAAGTCACTGACCCAGACTTTCTTTTGTCTGGGTCAGTGTTTGTTTTAATGGATTTTCTGTAAAACAAATGGTTATTTTCCTCAGTATGTAGCTTTATTCGGTAACAAAGACTAAAATACAGACAGCTACATACAGACTTAAATAAAGACAATTTTTAAAGAGTAGAATTTCTTGATTCATCTCTCTGTCTCATTGGCTATATGCAATAAGGGTGTAGAGCTTCGAACCTTGATTAGAGAGAATGAATGAGAGGCATGAGAGTTGTTTGAAGGGGGAAGCTTAGCATTGCACAAGTCCCATAGAGATTCACTGTATTCCCACAGAACCATGTAGCAATTAGTCACTGCTCATTAAGGACTACAAGTCCCACATGGCACGCCCCAGCTGCCGCTACGCCACGGATCCAATCCTTATTTGATTTAATACCCCAACATAAGAGGAGTGTTGAAAGTATATCAAGCATTGCAGGGAATTTTCTTTGGGGAATAATGCATGGTGTCATGAGAAGGGAATAAAAAAGGGAAATAAAGTGGAGGAGGAATATTTTTTTATTTATTGATACTTCTCTGAATGAAAATTGCTTACATCCATGATAAAGAATAGTGTCATCAAATAAAACAATGAGCATTATTGGAAGCTCCTGTTTTTTAAATATAAACCACTGCAATATACCAGTCCATAATGGCCAAACTTTTAACTGGCTTTGTAGTGTTTCAATGTTAGTCGTATTTGGAAATAAACAATGTTTGGTGTCCCTCCGTGTTATTGCTCACAAATTAGGTTTGTATTGTTCAATACTTTACCTCCCAATTCATGTCAAATGCAAAGTGCCAAAGTAGGAGAACGTTTCTTGGTAGCGATGTGTTTGTGCATTAAGTCAAATCTTTATGCAGAAGACCGTATACTAAGTCTGGTAAAAAAACATGCAGTTCAATGAGTCGTAACCACACTTTTCCTCCAACCATAACCAAGTGTTTGTGTTGCCTACCCCTAATCATACCCTATAAAAAGTTAAATTACCATAACCTTGATCTTCCAAAACCATAATTATACAGAAAAAAGGGAGAATAATTAAGAAAAAACTCAAAACAGGTGATAGAATCTTTGCCTTTTTGAACCTGGTAACACATCCTTTTTTCACCTTATCTGTAAATGAGGAAAGCTCAAAGATAGTAATCTATGCATAAATGGGTCACCTTGAAAGTTTCTACTTTGGTTACTTCCTCTTTTTCTGCTAAGTCTCATGGGTCCTCGCAGCCCTTTTTTCTTTCTCTGATCCTCTGTGAATGGAGCAGGCGGGATGGGACACATGAGCAGCTCTCCAGAGATCTACCCCCGGCACTCTCAGGTGATCTGCCTCAGCGTGGCTCCGTTTACCAGCCGAGCAGCTGCCGCAGGAGCTTTGAGACCTCTTAAAAGTCCACGTCGGGCTATGGTTACAGTTTGAAAGTGTCTGAGGCAGTGGTGGAGAGAAGGGACAGCTTAAGGCCAGGGGGTGCTGCAGACCTCCTGCTGTGAGTTCAAAGAGAGGTCCCCAGCAGCTGTGGCTCTCAAGGGAGGCTCACAAGGGTGTTGGGGGCAGTGAAAATGGGGGAGGTTAGGGTCACATGGCAATTCAATCTGACTTTAAAAGCCAAGTTGCATGTGTTTGTCTAAATGTCCACATTTTTTAAGGAAATATTACCCTCCTTAGATTTCACATCTGAAGGAAAACAGTTCTGTATTTTACAGTTTTCTCATGATTTCCTAAGTTGCAACTTTTTCACGCCGTCTTGAAATCTAAAGTCTGAACAGCTCTAAGAATGACATAAGGGCAAGGATTTGATCTGGCATTTATCAAACTTATGAAGCCGGGTAAGAAAGTTGTGGTTGGAATTGATGTATGGCTTTTTCTTTAAATGAGTCCAGGCACGGAGATGCAACCTGGCAGGACTCAAGGTCAGTTAAGCAGAGGCGGGAGCAGACTGTTGATGTGGTGGATGAGAAAATTGCAACACAGCAATGTTACAACAGCCTACACTTAGGAAAGTATCAAATCATACAATCTTCTGTATCTTAGTTATAATGGCATTTCTCCAGCACACAATATTTGCCAATTTCAGCAATAGTGAGTTGTATCAGGACAATTTACCAAGATTGATGTAGAACGTTCCTTTTATTTGTAACCCATATACATATTGGGATATTTAAGAGTATTAGTTGTAACAATTAAATTAACCTTTTATCTAATATGGACATTTTCAATTCCATTTTCAGCCATCTTAACCATTGTTGAGTTGTTGCTAGGCATAAACAGAAGCAGGTAAACACACCTGTCCTCTGTTAGTTAGATCTTGAGAACTTAAAACTGGACAAAAAAGATTATCGACTCTTTAGCAACGACCTGTAGGCGTCATTCTTGTTGTATCTAGATCTGCAATTATACTTTCCGAGTATTTGAAAGTCCATTAAGGTTAACAAGATGTACATTTTTGTCATAAGACGGTGTACAGAAGACTCCATGTGGACGTTCATATACCACCGACTTGCTGTGGGCACTAAAAGTTTAAGTGTAGCATATTTATTGCACATGCTTGGATTGTTTCCTCCAATAATGCGGGAAAACAACTTCTACGTGTTCATACAGTCTGCTGACTTATCTTTAGACTACTGGATGTTGTCTCCCATCCCTTGTAATGAAAGACCATTAGGAAGGGTTCCTTATTGGTCAGTGTGAACAGGGGGTGACCATTGACTATAGCAGGAAAACATATTAAAATGTCCATACAGTATAGGCACCTGAAAAAGTCAACCTCCTATCCATCCCCACCCGCACCAATCACCGGACCTGGGGGGACAGAGCCTTCTCCGTCGCTGCCCCCTCCCTCTGGAACTCACTCCCACAACCCATCAGAGACTGCACCGACCTCACCACCTTCAAAAAACTCACAAAAACTCACCTCTTCAATCTGGCTTTTCATGTGTGATTGTTTTTGTATTATTTGACTTTAACTTTAACTATATATTTATTTGTTGTTCCTTTCTTCTCTTTTCTTTTCTCTTCACTATTATCTGTAAAGCGTCTTTGAGCACCTGTAAAAGCGCTAACAAATTAAATCTATTATTATTTTTATTATTATAAAATTGTTTTGCTTTTATCCCATTGCAACCATCAATCATTTTGGACATACATTTTTTGTAATATTTAACAAATACTAATTGTGTCGAATACATCTGTTTGCAAGTTATTATGGTTGGATTTAAAGGAGATTTTGATCAATGTGATAAAGTTGATGGAGTACCCTGATTTTTCAGGTATCAATTTACTGGATTGAACTAAAAACACACATCCATCTGGTAATTTCATTATTAGTATACCATCATTTTCCTAACCTCTGGGATAAATATGCATTTCAGACTATTTCCAAAAATAGCCGTCCAGAATTACACCTCTTCGCATCCAATAAAAGCACTCTTTGGTAAAAAAGAGCTCCTTTCATTATTGTATTTCCTGAGCTTTGATCAGTAAATAATCCAATCGTAGATCATCTGATAAAGTAGAAATGTACTACATGTGTATCTGACTTTTCAATCAGCCTGCCTATTATTGTCTCCTCTAGTTAGAATGTTCCAGTAACGTGACACTGCATAAATATTTGTCCGACATTACTGCAGGCCCTTTCAGCTGATCCTGTGGCTTCAGCTCCGGCACAATGGCCCCTTATCCCAACCAAGTAACCCTACACTCGCCAACTGCTCATTATTGATGGCCTAGTAAGTGTTACAGTTACAAACCAATTACTCTACCATTAATGTTAGATGAGCTGCTCTACAAGTACAGCTTGATGCTTATCAGCTTTCATCTGTTACAGGTCTTTACTTTCACTAAATGGCGCACCTTCTCCCTCTCTTGGTTTCAGTCGTTAATAAGTAGGAGGTGAGAATGACAGCTGGCAGTCTCAGCCCTATATCAGGGGAAAATTCCCTCAGTTCAAGAGGTAAAGAAGTCAAGAGGTGAGCAACATGTCCCCTCGGTGACTCTGGGAAATCTGGTGACCCAGTAAAGTGATATCACACCACCAAAGAGGAGGGGGGGTGGGGGAGGAACAGAACAGAGGTGTAGGGATCGAATGAGTCTTGCTGCCACCTCCACATGTTGGTTTCACCAGCGTATAAGGAAATGTGTGTCTTCAGGTCAGTGAAAGGTAGAACATTTAAGTGACACACACACACACACACACACACACACACACACACACACACACACACAAGTTCGCACAGAAACAGCCGTTTTCCCCCAGATGTGTGTGTTGAGATGTGCCAGACAGGTTTGCGCGGGCGGAGCAGGGAGAGGAGAGACAGTTCACAGATCAAGTCAACACCTTTCACATCTCCATCAACAGCTTCTGAGAGACATCTATTAACACATCCTCTCGCCAACAGTTATCTTTCCAAGAAGGAAACTGAAACTGAGTATACAGTTTCAAAGCTTATGCACTTTTTTGGGTAAATACTCAAATCTAAGTATCTTAAAGATGTTTCCCAACACCACTTTTTTTTCACAACCTATCTTTATTATTCAGATCTGTCTTTTAAGCTATATCGTTGTAAAATCAAAGAAGGCGGCAAACAGGACAGACACATGGAAGTAATTAAAAGTGTCGTAAACATTTAAGCATCCCCCTCCTTGCATTTTAAGAGCTTACCAGCCCTTGAACACAACACCACAAGGACACTTTTTCTTGGACCACTCCTACATAAGGTCATTTTGGCAATATATTAAAATAAAATAAATCGAGCTGTTTATTTTACTACTAAAAGCTAATTGCAAATGTTCTAAGACGACTAGCCCGTGCCTATTCACTAGAGCAAAACAACTTTATACATTTTGCAACACTTGACAGCTTCTTTCTCATTAACACACCTATGTCTCCGTAGGTGGTTGTGCTGAATCCCTAACTCAGCAGCTTTGCAGAGGAACATGTCCTTTAGAATATGATAAAGAGGAAGCAGGCATTTCCTCTTCAGGAGGGATGTTTTCCGTTGCACGTCCTGTCTGATTAGTGAGAACCGTGCCTCTTCCCCCGAACTGCACCGCGAGACGATCCATTACCACACATTTACAGAAAAAGGTTTCATGTTATACTGCATGTTGGAAGACGCTCTCCGTGGCATTGAGACAAAAAGTGACTCTATAATTCATAACTCTTGGGCGTGCTTGCATGATACTGTCATAAGGAATTGATATGCCTAAACAACATAATATAGTCTCGGAAATATAAAAAAAAATAAAAGTATGGTTTGATGAAAATATCTGAAAATCATCATCGCTTTCAAAATAAAATGAAAAAAATTGTATATTTTTTAGTAAAAACATCAAAGTATGTCGAAGATAAGTCGTATTATAGTTTGTCGAAAACGTTAGACAAAACCAAATAGTATAGTATGTCGAAAAACGGTCATAGTATATCCAAATTATCAGAAAAAACAACATGGTATAGATTGTCGAAAGTATCAGTAAAACGTTGGTTTGCAGAATTACCTATACGTAAACATTGAGCAATTTAAATGAGGGTAATGTTCCTTAAACAAGAAAAACAAATGGTTAAAATGACATTTTCCCAAGTCTCAAAACCCAAACAAACTTCAGGAACACTGACCATCATTATTGTAAATAATTGTTGCACGATGAGTCACGGCCCAGACTGTAGAGGAACTTTGGGAAGGAGCCGCTCTGTTAGGGGAAATCAGGAGATGGACTTGTCTCCTCTGGAGTCCGTCCGGAGGCTGTTGAGAAGGAGATGCATTATCTGAGTGTCCAGCGAAAGTGGGGGGAGAGTGGCTAGCTGAAGTTTATGGAGATTTATGGCTTCTTCTCCAGGCCTTAATTGCCTCCTCCTCTGTGGGTAGTCCTGGGAGGCCCGCGGTGAGCAGAGACCAGCACCAGGGCTCCTGCAGGTGGGCCCACCAGAACGCTGCTCACTGAGACTTGTTATGGAGACAAATGGTGTCACGGAGCGCCCCAAAAGCAGACGACAAACAAAGGGGAGGAAAAGAAAAAACGGAGAGACGGACAGCTGGTCAATGAAAGGGCTCAGGACTTCAACTTGGCCTTCGGAGACACACAAAAAAGAGTTATGGTAGTCTTGGCTTTACTGGCGCCAATTAAATATCTATCATGGACAAGTGCTGTGATAAAATTGTGACAGAGAGAAACATTTAAACTTGAACTGAGAATGTTGAATTCAAGTCCAAATCCGAAAATGGGTCTTTGTCTTGAGGAGTACATTTTTCTTGCTTCCCCAACGAGTTAAACAATGACATTGACATTTATTTCACAAAAGAGAACTGACCTAGAAGGCAGCATAAAACCTTTGCTATGACAATAATGCCAACAAATAATCCAGTTTAGATGCATTTACAGAATTTAAGTTTTACCAGTCCT